ACTGAAGACAGTAGCCTCTATGTGGAAGACATCTGGAACAAGCCCCCGGCAGCACTTCCAAGAGTGAAGCAAGGCTCTGTAGGAGTATGAAAGAAGACAGAAAGGTGCTTCTAAGTGCAGTATTCCATTGTGTTTTTTTTAAATTTAGAAACAGTTTAAAAACACTTACAGGATAATGGTGATCGATACGCTCATCAATGAGGTCTATGCGGGGCTCCTGTCACTGTGGATCTTCTCTTATAATGCTGCACCAACCCGCAGCTGCAGGGGGAACACAAGTCCAAGATGGCTGCCAATCTTCTGGGTTGCCCGGTGGAATGCAAGCCGCCGGTGTGGAGCGCATAAGCCGAAGGTGGCATAAAAAGGGGCAGTGATGCGTTTCGGAGCATGCGCGGTAAGCTCCTTCATCAAGACCTAAACCCCATACATACATGAGCCGAATTATATATTGTGGGTGGGCAGGAAGGGGGCAGACTGCAAGGGGCAGTATCCTAGTATTCACAAAACGAAGAAGGGTGGAGGGACTACTAACAAATGGTGCGGTTTTTACCAGGGATATGGTGCTATAAAGGAGACCAGGTGAGGGGGTGGCCACTAACGAAGGGCTGTCACAAAGGGGCAGTGCCAACGTCATAACAATTCTTTACTAAAGAGACAAGGCTGTACAGGGTTCATGATGGGAGAAAGGAGGAGGGCGGGGGAGCTAATCAGGGAAACAAAAAAGAGGGTAGTGAAAATAGATAAATGGATGAATAATCAAAAAACATACAAGAGGGTCTAAAGGCCACAGGGGATAACAAGAACAGAAGGGCACACGGTGTCAGGAACCAGACATGAGCACGCTGAGTGGTTATATATTCAAAGTACAGGCTGGCATCAATATCGGCAACACAATAATGTACTTATACACATATGTGCACATACACGCATACATACATGTATACATACGCCGACATACAGGCCCCTACGTGTGTGTGTATGTATGTATAATGTATATATATATATATATATATATATATATATATATATATATATATATATATATATATATACACACACACACACACATACACACACACACTCACTACATACATACATACATACATACATATACACACACACATATTCAGTTGCAAGAAAAAGTATGTGAACCCCTTGGGATTACGTGGAGTTTTGCATGAATTGGGCATAAAATGTGCTCTGAACGTCATCTAAGTCACAACAATAGAAGAACACAGTCTGCTGAACATAATACTACACAAACATTAGATGTTGCCATGGTTTAATTGCACATAACATGTAAACATTCACAGTGCAGGGAGGAAAAAGTATGTGAACCTTTGGACTTAATAACTGGTTGACCCTCCTTTGGCAGCAATAACCTCAACCAAACGTTTCCTGTAGTTGCAGATTAGACCTGCACAACGATCTGGAGTCATTTTGGACCACTCCTCTTCACAAAACTGTTTCAGTGTAGCAATATTCTTGGGATGTCTGGTGTGAATCGCTCTCTTAAGGTCATGCCACAGCATTTCAATCGGGTTGAGGTCAGGACTCTGACTGGGCCACTCCAGAAGGCGTATTCTGTGCTGTTGCAGCCATTGTTTTGTTGAATTACTTGTATGCTTTGGGTCATTGTCCTGTTGCATCACCCATCCTCTGCGGAGCTTCAGATGGCGGACAGATGGTCGTACATTTTCCTGCAAAATGTCTTGATAAACTCTGGAATTCATTTTCCCATCAATGACAACAATCCGCCCAGGCCCTGAGGCAGCAAAGCAGCCCCAAACCATGATGCTCCCTCCACCATGTTTTACAGTGGGGATGAGGTTTTGATGTTGGTGTGCTGTGCCTTTTTTTCTCCACACATAGTGTTGTGTGTTCTTCCCAAACAACTCAATCTTGGTTTCATCTGTCCACAGTATATTTTCCAGTAGTGCTGTGGAACATCCAGGTGCTCATTTGCAAACTTCAAACGTGCTGCAATATTCTTTTTGGACAGCAATGGCTTCCTCCGTGGTGTCCTCCCATGTACTCCATTCTTGCTTAATGTTTTCCTTATTGTAGATGTGTCAACAAAAATGTTAGCATGTGCCAAAGATTTCTGTAGGTCTTTAGCTGACACTCTGGGATTCTTCTTTACCTCATGCAGCATTCTGCGCTGTGCTCTTGCAGTCATTTTTACAGGACGACCACGGCTAGGGAGAGTAGCAACAGTGCTAAACTTTCTCCATTTGTAGACAGTCTGTCTTACCGTGGACACATGAACATCAAGGCTTTTGGAGATACTTTTGTAACCCTTTCCAGCTTCATGCAAGTCAACAATTCTTGATCGTAGGTCTTCTGAGAGCTCTTTTCTGCGAGGCATGGTTCACACCAGACAGTGCTTCTTGAAACCAGTAAACCCAAAACAGGTGTGTGTTTTTTAAGGGCAGGACAGCTGTCAGCAACACATCCAATATCATCACACTGATTGGAGTCAAGGTTGGCTCACTCCTGGCTCCAATTAGCTCTGGGAGAAGTCATTAATCTAGAGCCTCACATACTTTTTCCTCCCTGCACTGTGAATGTTTACATGTTATGTGCAATTAAACCATGGCAACATCTAATGTTTGTGTAGTATTATGTTCAGGAGACTGTGTTCTTCTATTGTTGTGACTTAGATGACGTTCAGAGCACATTTTACGCCCAATTCATGCAAAACTCCACGTAATTTCAAGGGTTTCACATACTTTTTCTTGCAACTGTATACACACAAAATCATAATCAAGTAGGAATAAATACTGATGAATAATAATTTTCTCATAAATACAGTAGGAGCATCTTCACATTTTAGTATATAAAAATGGTGGTACTTCATATAGGTACAAAGAGGCAATGAGTCCACTCTAGACATGCCGTCCATCCAAGCTGTGGATAGATGGAACTATCAACGGATGATGAATAAGAGACAACCAAGGGGTGGGCAGGCCTACCCTTTTTCGCTGAAGTGCAGAAATTAGATCAGCTGATTACTGACTGGCGCTATCAACCTTAGACAGAAAGTGGGTTATTGACAGAATAACCAAGTAAAAAAAATAAAGGTAAAAACCCTCAAAGCATTATAAAATGCAAAACCAAGATTTTTATATATTGCAGCTTACCAATCATTAGATGCGGTGGCTGCATCCGTTTTCATTTTTAGGGCTTTTTTAACCCTCTGTTTTCACCCAGAGATCTGACCAGTAACACTCCTCCTTTATTAGGATGGGAACACTCTGGATGAAGGAGCAACAAAGACACTTTTGGACAGCAGCATTGTCAGTCTGAGAGGAGGGGAGTGTTAGATGTACTAGCAGATTTAGACACACTAACACATTTAAGCAAACGTAAAACTAATGCAGCCACCACAACCACCATCTAAGAATTGGTAAGCTTCATTATAATAAATGTTTGTGTTTCAGTTTAACGCTGCTTTCACAAGAAAACTGCAGGATTCACCATATTCAAGCTCTGGTAAGCTTAAAGCAGAACTACACTGCATCTGAGCACCACAGACAAAAGTCTGAAAAACACCCCCTACCATGTCTGGTCATTGCCATCTTGGGTAAGGGCAGACGACTCAATGTTGCTGTAGATGTTGTATTTTACATTTTTATTCAATGTAGCATTTTACTTCCTGGAATCCATCTGCCCTTAGTGCAGGCATGCAGGTAGGAGGATGCGCTTAGCAGAGAAAACCCATCTTCCCCCCAAAGACTCCTGAGATGTATGACATAATTTGCCTAGGCCAGAAACCAGGAATAAATTGGTGTAAGAAAAAAAAAAAAAATTTCAAAGTAAATATAGTATACCTTCCTATCTATTCACTAATGCGAGCAGCATAAGGATTAAAAATAAGTCAATGCTGATTGAGAGGGTGACGTTCTGCTTTAAATTAGGGATGCACCGATACCGACGTCGGCGCTGATATTGAGTATTTTCACGACTACTCGTGAAAACGCTCCCAATACCAGAAACCGATACTTTTCAGTGCAATTTGTATCAATACAAAATGCAAAATGCACTGCAAAGAGCAGCATGAGATTTGAACAGGAATGCAATTCCTGTCCAATTTGCATGCAGTTTCCTCACTACTTCTGTGTAAAACCAATGCTAGTCATAATCTGGTTTCACATAGGAGCGGTGCAGGAAACCTCCCTGCACCAATCCCATGCTGAGCCGAAAGTGGGTGTGTGGGGATGTATACCTGGTGCCAGATGCTCAATATTCTCAGTTGTAGGAGAGAAGAGAAAGCAGTGGAGATTTGATCCATCCATCCTTGCAAGGATGACAGTTCAGGCTAGAGGGCTTTTGATCGGTCGGCACCGTCACATGGACGATGCTGACCAATCAGAGGTAGTCTAGCCCATACTGTCATCGCTGCGAGAGGAGATAAAGTGCCAGGGATTTCAAATCCCCAAACCTATGAAGCAGCTTGCTCTCCTCTCCTTGCAGGGATGACAGTACAGGCTTCACCATCCATGTGACGGTGCTGACCATTCAAAAGCCCTCTAGGTACAAACTGTCATCCCTGCAAGGAGAGGAGAGAAAGCTGCTTCATAGGTTTGGGGATTTGAAATCCCTGTTGCTTCCTCTCCTCTCCTACAGCTGAGAATACAGAGCATCTGCCATCAGGTATACATCCCCATACATCCTTCTCTTAAACTCTCCACTGTGGGAAACCTGGGTTCACACAGAGCAGTGGGGGAACAGCATGCCATTTGAACAGGAACCACATTTCTGTGCAAATCGCATGCTATTCTTTGCAGTGTAATTTGCGTCCATACATTTTGTATGGACGCAAATCACACCACAAAGTTTCGGTACTCAGTATTGGCGAGTACTTGACCGAAAGTATTCCTACTTACCGATCAAAAAAGGGTATCAGTGCATCCCTATTTCAAATGTATTAACTTTATATTTTTGGGGTTAGATATACATTCAAATTTGTAAGTTAACACACAAACACACTTACTGACCTCTTGCTGCTGGAAAATGTCTGTATATTTCCCCAGTCCTAGCTTGCTGAAAAGTTCGGGAAGGTCAGAACCTTTGAATGAACTATTTAAGTTACAGCCATTGCTTCCAGTTAGAGAGGAGATACAATCCATGTAGTTACTACTGCTAAGGTAGTGTTCTGCTGTGAATGAGTTAGAAGAATAAAAGGTTACTACATTTTAATGATGGTTTACCCAACAATAACTTGTGGGCCACATGTGCTGTAGCCTCCAGCTCCTTTGTATAACATGCAGTAAAGGAGTCCCACAGAACCAGTTTATTAGGACACTAGTGCTCAGATGACTATTCGGTAGAGCATTTTACAGTGTTACATAGTTACATACAATCCTATTAAAATATTGTTTGCAGTAAAGAACATAAAATCAGGCATGTGCATTTCTGCATTCAAAATGTTGCCCAGCATATTTGTAGGCTCATGATGTACAGTAATAAAAAAAAAAATTCATTCAAGCACATCAGGCTTTGAAGCATGATGCCAAAAAATAGGTGACTAAACAACAATTATTCATAAACCATTTACTCAAAAGGAAAATGTCAGCTTATTATCTTTCGATGTAAAAAAAACATGAACATATTTTTTAGGGCAGGACATCAGTTGACAAAAGGTACATCATTCAGAAATGCAAACAAAATAAGTACAAAAAAAACCCCACAGAAGGTGATATTTGCATTTCTTGAACAATGTGGGGGAACATTACATACAATAGGTGAGTGAGATGGCAGGAAGTTTATTAACCAAACTAGGGTAGAAAGGAAAACGGCCAGGAAATTTTGAAGCAGACAGGTGTGAAATCATATTTTAGGTAGAGGCCAGTCTAATTTGATGAGGATCAGAATTTCAGAGAAGGTTATGCATAAGAACTTTTATTTTCAAGCTGGTTATAAGCAGCAGATGGAGAGATGGGATATCAATAGCCTGTCCCATGGATAAGCCTTACACTATCAACTGAAGAGAAGTGACTTTTCTACAAGTTGTAAGCGATGAGATTAGAATTACAGGTAGTGGTGGTGAGTAGTGTGGTGTTAGATGCACAAAAGCTGGCTATACATGGGTCTGTTTTTTTCGAACTGGGTGAATTCCCCCATCCACATGAGTGAGATGGATAGAGGAATCCTCTCTGCTGTGCTTTTGTATTCTGACAGCAAGGACGACATCATAATACACTGGTCAGTGCTGCTGGACTTCGATCCATCTATGGCCAGCTTAAGGTGTAACATTAAATTTAAACTATTGGTTTTTTTTAAATACTGTGGCAGGTTTTGGACAGAGAGGGCAATAGTTAGGGCAGAAAGGTTTATTAGATTGAGCGAAATCTAGCAAATATCTTTGCAGATTAGGGTGGTTGGGCGTACTTTACACAGAGATCAGCAACACATCAATACATTAAAGTCAGTTTATATTACTCAGTTGTTTTTTTATGACCCACACTAATCTGCACACACATTGTATTTGATCACTAAATGAACCTACAAAATAAATTCATAATAAAATACTGTATGGTACTTGTAGGTTTAAATAAGCACTAACCAGATTTATTTTGTTTTCGCTTAGGACTGCCAATCGATGACGAGTAGTCATTATGAGATGAGTCCATGCCATTCCTGTCCCTCCAGTTATCAGAGTCACTGCCATTGCCCAGCTGTTCCCTACTATTTGACCGGGACAGGGACATTGAAGGCGCCTGTAAGAAGCAATGTAGAAAAACAGATTATACAGTTTTCCAACAATCTCTTTTAGAATGGATCACCAATAAGAGAACACTACCATACCATTCCTAGCACAATGAATACCTGGTACTAAACCTCTGAGCTGGAAGTCCATACAGTTTGCATACACGAAATACAGGTAATTAACATTATTTATTTTTGCTTATTAAAAAGTAAAAAGCATTAGTTAGAACAGGAATTGAGACTAAATGTTCCAGACACAGTGTAATAAAAACTAATATTCTATTGGAAGTGAGACAGGCTTAAAACAGATTGAACAATAAGGCTGCAGGCAGTAGGAAATGTCTGGAATTTACTGCTGCCTGCAGCCTTATTGTTCCACCTGTCATCAGAACAGGAAATATGAAATCTTCATAAAAAGCTAAAGGGGGCTCTTCGCAACAGAATACAGGTATTATTTAAAATGGGACACAGTATTTAAAGGCTAATTGAATTTCCAGTTTAAAATCAGCTTCCAGAGCATCAAAGAAAATTATATGCCAAGTCTTACAGATAATTTTCTTTAGAAAGTAGCCACAGCCTGTGTAGAATTACCTGTCCCCTGCCAAAATGCTGTACATAAGGTACCTTGCTTTTTCTCTGCAGAAGGTCCAACATGTCCCTTGCTAAGTGAGAGCTGGAGCTTTCTAATCAGCAAAGCTCATTATTCTTGCTGAATGCTGAGCTATAGCTGTGATCACTCAAGAGACCACTGATTCTACAGAGAGAGCAAGGGCCCTTCAAGCTGCAGGGAGTAGACTTTTCCATTCACCTTTGTTTTCATGCACCTAGAATTTATTTAGCTTTAAAACTTCAGCTGTGCTTTAAAACCCAACAGATTTTAACCCTGTCTTACTCTATCAAAAACTGGAAAAAATGCCCATAGCCAAGATTTAATGCAGCCACCGTCATGATGCAATCAGCACCCAGTCCGGCCAATTATGGTCAGACTGAGAACCCGTCATATCTAGAGCAATGTGTGATCTCTTTAGACACCTCAAAAAACAACTGATCTTGGAGAATAATACATTATCTAGGATGGATTTCCCAAACTAACTGCAATTAGATAAGACTGGCCCAGAAGGGCAATAAAAAAAAAGTGTATGTTATCTATCTATCTATCTATCTATCTATATATATATATATATATATATATATATATATATATATAGATAGATAGATAGATATATAGATTTTTATTTTTTTTTGCCTTTCAGAATCAAAATTTTATATGGGACACTATACTACAAAATACTCCCACAAAATGCGAGCTGCTGAATTGCAAACAAGATTTGTTCATTTGCACACACACAAAAAAAATATTTTTCCTAACAAATGTATTCAAAACCATGTTCAAAAATTAATACACCCCAATGAAAGTCTTAGGAGCAAAGCTAAATTTTAGACAACCAAATCCTAACAAGAATTCAACTACAGGTGAGTCTAATTATTCATTAAACATGTATCCAGCAGACAGTTGATGAGTTAAGTTAACACCTCGATGGGAGCGAAAAGGTTGAAAAAGGTTGATGAAAATCACCATGCAAGTTCACTCCAGTTAGCTAAAGAAGTAGAAAGCCAAACTGGGGTGATGGTTTCCCATGACACAATATGGGGTACACTGCAGAAGAATGGCATGCATGGGTGTCGTCCATGAAGGAAGCTCTCCTAAAGCCCATGCACAAAAAAGCCCAATTAGAATTTGCCAGGGCCCATGCTGAAAAAAGAAAAAGACTACTCTGGAGCGATGAGACCAAGATAAATGTTTTTGGAACTGATGGCTTTAAAACTGTATGGTGTCGCAAAGGTGAAGAGCACAAAGAAAAATGCAAGATGCCTACAGTGAAACATGGTGGTGGCAGTGTCCTTCTGTGGGGTTGCATGCTGGTGGTGTGGGGGATCTGCATTTCATTGATGGTATCATGATTTCACAGATGTACTGCTCTATATTGAAAGAGAAGATGCTACCATCACTCCGTAAAAATGAGGAAGGGTTGTAACCCCAAACAATCTTCCTTTATAGTAGACGCCACCTCATTTTGCCTCAAATACAATTACTTCACATTCAACCACGATTTCTACTTACAAACTCAAGGTACAGCCATGGGAGCCAACTTTGCACCCTCATATGCCAACTTGACTATGAGTTTCTGGGAGGACAAACACATATGGCACAACAATCCCTTTGCCGCCCACATCATCTTTTACGGCCGTTACATAGATGACATTATCGTCATCTGGGATGGACCAATATCACACGTAGACCAGTTCGTAACCCATTGCAATTCAAATCCTTTTGGACTGTCCTTCGCCTCCACTCACCACAAACATACTCTTGTATTCCTAGATCTCGAATTATACCATGACAATCTCCAAATATTAACAAAAAACCACTTCAAACCCGTATCTGGCAACTCATACCTCCACTTCAACAGCTGCCACCACCCCAAATGGATCCAAAATATACCTAAAGGACAATTCTGTCGTCTCAGACAAAACTGCACCACAGATTCAGATTACAATCTCCAGAGTGACATTCTAATAAAGAAATTCCTAGACAAAGGTTACCCACACAAGCTAGTAGATGAGGCCCACTCCTTCTACCACAAGGGTAGACCCCAAACACACAATAACACACAGCCTCCCAACCAGGTCAGATTTATAACCAAATTCCACAACAACTTTCACAAAATGGAGTCTATCATCAATAGACATTGGCCGATACTACTACAGGATCCACATTTAATAGACATCTTAGATAAAAAACCAAAATACACCTACCGCAAAGCCATCAACCTTAAAAACAAGATTGCCCCCAGCAAATACAAACCCACCCACCAACACACTCAACACAATCTGCCTCATACCCATTGTCGGCATGTATAGATGCAACAAAGCGCTATGCAAAACTTGCCAATTCGTTAAACACGGACAAAAAAACTTCACCACAAAAGGAAAAACCTATTCATTCAAAGAATTTTACAACTGCTCCACTGATCATGTGATCTATTGTATATCCTGCCCTTGCGGCCTCCTATATGTGGGACGAACCATCAGACCCCTCCGCGCCAGGTTTGGCGAGCACAGACTTTCTTATTGAAGATGGTAAAGACAAACATAGCGTCCCCCACCGCTTCCTTGAATATCACCAAAAATCCACTTATGGCCTACAAGTATGGGTCTTAGAATCCATACACAACAATCTCTCTGAGTCTGATCGTTTCAAAAAACTCTGTTCACAAGAAACTTATTGGATATTTACATTAGATACATTGTCCCCTGGCGGACTCAACGAGGAATTAGACATTAACACTATACTATAAACACTACAATCTCCCATTCACAGCCACTCAACACTCACAATGATACTTCCCCCCCCCCCCCCCTTTCTTTATAAAATTATTATTTTTTTTTTTTTAATCAAATTTTTTATCGAATTTTTTTTTTTTTTTTTTTTTAATCCAATTTTTAGTTTATTATTTATAACCTTTTGTTCATTATTTATTTTATTTTATTCTATTTTTTACAATGTAATTTACTTTTTATAATGTCATCTGCATGTATTATTACCAATATGTTTATCATCTTGCAATCATGCTGTATCATCTTGCAATCATGCTGTATTACCACAAAATATCTGCTCACTACTGTTACATAATTGATGTGCCAGTGCTGCAAGGTGAACATTTTACCCCACTAATCTCCCAGAACATAATTTTTTTTTTTTTTTTTTTTTTTTTCTTCCGTTTTCTTATTTATTACATCCTCTCTTTTTTCCATTTGGTTTCCTTTTACCCCCCCCAGTTAACATCCATGACTTTACACTATTCACCTGACAGCAATGGTCAATCACTGGTTAATTGGTTAATTGATCAATTAGACTCACGTTCCCTATATATTCACCCCTGTTCATCCACTTCCCCCTGCTTGAAAAAGGAGTGCACTTCCGCCTTCCACAACCAGTGCATGCTCCGAAACGCGTCACAGTGCACCCTGGGATCTGACGTCATCACGGCCACGCCGCCGCTACGTTCCAGCGTGTGTTCCATCCGGCTTTGAGGGAGGACGTGCATGAAGGCTTGCCTCACCGCTGTTCCCCCTCCAGCCACCACGCTGTTCCAGCCGAGAGCTGACCTCCCCACATCGCAGAGAGATGACGGCTCTTCACCCGGGTTACCACCCCACCGTTAACTATTGTTAACCACGGTTTTTATGCTCATGATTACTTCACACATGTGAGTGTTTCTACATTTAGACTTGAATTAAAAGACTTATTGCACTTAGAGGCGCTTCTCTCCTTTTTCTCATCTACAGAAGTTGCTACAGCTTATTTGGAAGCCTTGCCCTCAGTGCCACACGGAATCCTACGCTCTTCATACAGTAGCCACTAATACCACCATCACCCATACTACCATTTCCCAGGACTTTGCAGTGTTTGCGCTGTTACAACCCTTCCTCATTTTTTCTGAATCATTTTGTGCTCATGTAGCAGTACCAGCAGCATCCACTCACTTAGTCCTCCACATGTACATGCCTGTCCATAGGTTGGCAAACATACATATGTGTGTTTAATGTGCATATATGTGTACATACATGTATACCTAGACATTTATTTTTAGTATTTAGTTATTTGGTCGTTTTCTGTAATTTGACCATCATCATTATGATTTAATATTTTTTAACTCATTGTATTACCAACACTATTTTACTCATTCACTACTCCATAACTAATTGTCAATTAACCACTCTCTCCTTTCCCTTTTTTTTTTTTTTTTTTTCTCTCAAACAATTTTGATACAATCTATTTTTGACACAATTCAATCATTTTTCAATTATTATATATATATATATATTTTTTTTATTTATTTTTTTTTTTTTCCTTCCCCTCTCTCATACACCACTGAATACTTATCCATCCATTCACCTTCATCATGGAGCTACTCCATGATATTGAGGCAATCAGATACGATATCCTAGACAATTTCTTTACCCTCTTTCCATCTGATTTATTTTCTGATCTTGTCATATTACCAAGGAAGACACGTTATCTCTTTGGGGGCAAATTTAAAAAATTAGAAAGACTCATTTCCATCGCCAACCACCAATGGTGGGACAAATTCTTCCTCAATCAATATCTTACATACAAGATTACCCCTAGAGGCCTGAGAATCTTAAAGGCCTGCCCCTTCTTGGATCCTACAAACCACAAAAATTGGCAAAATCTCTCTGAATTTTGTACCACCAAGTGGATAGAAGTCATCATCTCCCAAAGAGAGAACAAATTCCAACAGCATACACATCACATCCAAATCATGTTACAAGAATTCCTAGACAGCGGACACAAATTACCCACACAGTGGCTAAAAACTCTAAAAAAGAACACCAAACATCAAGAGAACCTCATAGTATCAAACAAAATTGCCAAATTTAAAAGAGATCTAGATGACTATAACCACAATAGAGTTTTCACTTGGAAAAATCACAGCATCCCCGCCCTCATGGATTTAGTCCTCCCCCCGCACATCTAGAACACCCACAACAACATACCACACACCACGACAACCCCCCCCCCCTCTCATTCAAACACGATTCACCAAATCATATCCCACACAACACACCAATCACTTCAACCACAAAAGCTTGCACAATAAAGACACACCCAAGTCTCGCCCCAACACTAAAACACCTCCCAATAACACTTCCACAAACCAACAACAAAAAAAACCCTATAAATATATACCTCAGACCATCACCACCCCTATACCCATAACTGGTGACACCACACCTAATGGCACTCAGATTCCCATCACCCACACAAACACCCCTCAACCCATATCCCCATCCACCGATGCCCATACTGTCATCACCCTTGGTCTTCCGATTTCGAACAATCATCTTAACCCCACTCTCATTTCTGCTCACCACTCCCCCCAACACCTCACCGTCTTTTTTAGGTCAAAAATCCCCCCCACGGAAAAAGAAAACACACAGAGGCTGTAGGGGGGACGAAATAAACACCGCAACACACACCAAACACACAAACACCGCAAACTGTAAAAATCTTCAACTTATCCAACCATCAACTATCACAAACTGAAATCTCTCTGCTCAATCACGGTCTAAACTTTGCCCCAACTTCCCCACCCAACTTATTCACACTATTCAAAGACCTGAATAAATTTATACGCAATCTCACCTTAAAAAGATTCTTTCACATTCAATCCAAAAAAAAACTCAGCCTACAGCCATTTCACCTGATACAGACAATATCAACCCCTCAACCCCATCTGACTCAGACGCCTTTAGACATATTAGAACAATTATTTGCTGAGTCTCACCCTGATGATGGCCCACCTTTAGATTTTACACTCACTTCACAACTTTTATACCCCCCACCTGTGGCCCACACTACGCTCAGACCCAAATCAGTATTCAATCCCACACATTCTAAGGGCCCCTACCTGGAAAGTTTTTATAGAGTAGTCTACTCGGAATTCATCAAATTGTGCAATCCCAACCAGCACCATTCCGCCTCTAATCTACCAAACACTGTAAAAAAATCCATTACCACTTTATCAAACAATAAGGACATTATTATCAAGCCCGCCGATAAAGGCGGCGGCATTGTACTTCTTAATACCACTGACTACATAGACGAAGCCCTCAGACTCCTCTCAGACACATCCACGTATACCAAATTAACTAAAGACCCACTACCCGAATTCAAACAGGACGCACTACTACTAACGAACACAGCCTTACTTGATGGTGTCATCACCAAGCAGGAAGCCTCTTTTCTATCTAAAGACTTCTACAACACCCCGTATTTTTACTTTCTCCCCAAAGTACACAAAAATCCAAATAATCCACCAGGAAGACCAATCGTAGCGGCCACAGGGAGCATTACCAGCGGTTTCTCCCAATATATCGACCACTTCCTACAACCCCTTGCACAGGCTCAACACTCATATATCCGGGACAGCGGACACTTGCTAGAATTACTCCAAACATACTCCTGGGAACCCGACTATTGTTGGGTCTCGTTAGATGTCTGCTCCCTATACACCTCGACACCCCATGATGTAGGCATCACCGCCATCCAGCATTATCTATCCTTGGATCCATCACTCAACCCCAAACAATCTTCCTTTATAGTAGACGCCACCTCATTTTGCCTCAAACACAATTACTTCACATTCAACCACGATTTCTACTTACAAACTCAAGGTACAGCCATGGGAGCCAACTTTGCACCCTCATATGCCAACTTGACTATGAGTTTCTGGGAGGACAAACACATATGGCACAACAATCCCTTTGCCGCCCACATCATCTTTTACGGCCGTTACATAGATGACATTATCGTCATCTGGGATGGACCAATATCACACGTAGACCAGTTCGTAACCCATTGCAATTCAAATCCTTTTGGACTGTCCTTCACCTCCACTCACCAAAAACATACTCTTGTATTCCTAGATCTCGAATTATACCATGACAATCTCCAAATATTAACAAAAAACCACTTCAAACCCGTATCTGGCAACTCATACCTCCACTTCAACAGCTGCCACCACCCCAAATGGATCCAAAATATACCTAAAGGACAATTCTGTCGTCTCAGACAAAACTGCACCACAGAGTCAGATTACAATCTCCAGAGTGACATTCTAATAAAGAAATTCCTAGACAAAGGTTACCCACACAAGCTAGTAGATGAGCCCACTCCTTCTACCACAAGGGTAGACCCCAAACACACAATAACACACAGCCTCCCAACCAGGTCAGATTTATAACCAAATTCCACAACAACTTTCACAAAATGGAGTCTATCATCAATAGACATTGGCCGATACTACTACAGGATCCACATTTAATAGACATCTTAGATAAAAAACCAAAATACACCTACCGCAAAGCCATCAACCTTAAAAACAAGATTGCCCCCAGCAAATACAACCCACCCCACCAACACACTCAACACAATCTGCCTCATACCCATTGTCGGCATGTATAGATGCAACAAAGCGCTATGCAAAACTTGCCAATTCGTTAAACACGGACAAAAAAACTTCACCACAAAAGGAAAAACCTATTCATTCAAAGAATTTTACAACTGCTCCACTGATCATGTGATCTATTGTATATCCTGATTGCGGCCTCCTATATGTGGGACGAACCATCAGACCCCTCCGCGCCAGGTTTGGCGAGCACAGACGTCTTATTGAAGATGGTAAAGACAAACATAGCGTCCCCCGCCACTTCCTTGAATATCACCAAAAATCCACTGATGGCCTACAAGTATGGGTCTTAGAATCCATACACAACAATCTCTCTGAGTCTGATCGTTTCAAAAAACTCTGTTCACAAGAAACTTATTGGATATTTACATTAGATACATTGTCCCCAGGCGGACTCAACGAGGAATTAGACATTAACACTATACTATAAACACTACAATCTCCCATTCACAGCCACTCAACACTCACAATGATACTTTCCCCCCCCCCCCTTTCTTTCTTTAAAAATTATTATTATTATTTTTTTTTTTTTTAATCAAATTTTTTATCGAATTTTTTATTTTTTTTTTTTTTTTTTTTTTTTTAATCCAATTTTTAGTTTATTATTTATAACCTTTTGTTCATTATTTATATTTTATTCTATTTTTTACAATTTTTTACAATGTAATTTACTTTTTATAATGTCATCTGCATGTATTATTACCAATATGTTTATCATCTTGCAATCATGCTGTATCATCTTGCAAGCATGCTGTATTACCACTAAATATCTGCTCACTACTGTTACATAATTGATGTGCCAGTGCTGCAAGGTGAACATTTTACCCCACTAATCTCCCAGAACATAATTTTTTTTTTTTTTTTTTTTTCTTTCGTCTTCCGTTTTCTTATTTATTACATCCTCTCTTTTTTCCATTTGGTTTCCTTTTACCCCCCAGTTAACATCCATGACTTTACACTATTCACCTGACAGCAATGGTCAATCACTGGTTAATTGGTTAATTGATCAATTAGACTCACGTTCCCTATATATTCACCCCTGTTCATCCACTTCCCCCTGCTTGAAAAAGGAGTGCACTTCCGCCTTCCACGGCCAGTGCATGCTCCGAAACGCGTTGCAGTGCACCCTGGGATCTGACGTCATCACGGCCACGCCGACGCGCTACGTTCCAGCGTGCGTTCTATCCGGCTTTGAGGGAGGACGTGCATGAAGGCTGGCCTCACCGCTGTTCCCCCTCCAGCCACCACGCTGTTCCAGCCAAGAGCTGACCTCCCCACATCGCAGAGAGATGACGGCTCTTCACCCGGGTTACCACCCCACCGTTAACTATTGTTAACCACGGTTTTTATGCTCATGATTACTTCACACACGTGAGTGTTTCTACATTTAGACTTGAATTAAAAGACTTATTGCACTTAGAGGCGCTTCTCTCCTTTTTCTTACCATCACTCCGTACCCTTGGTTGTCGTGCACTTTTCCCACATGACAATGATCCAAAAACACACATCTAAAGACACTGCTGCATTTCTGAAGAACAGGGTAAAAGTGATTCAGTGGCCAAGTATGTCTCTTGATCTGAACCCAACTGAACACCTATGGGGAATTCTGAAGAGACAAGCTGAGCATCACTCTCTATCCAGCATCCAGGCTCTAAAAGAGGTTGTTCTTGAAGAATGGAAAAAGATAGATGTTGCAATATGTCGCCAACTTGTTCATTCCATGCCTAGATGACTGTAAGGTGCTGTCCTTACAAATCACGAAGGTCATACAAAATACTTGATGTAGTAGTTTTTGTTGTGGGGTGTATTCATTTTTACATCTACTAATTTGAGTAAAATTGAAGATTCTGTAATCTAATTTATATTATTAACCTTACTTTCATGTAAACAGCTAAACAAATGTTCTATAAAACTCAATTTTGTTAACATTTTGGAAATTGTTCTTGTGTTCATCGAGACATTGATTAAAATCTTACTTTTCAAAAAGGGGTGTACTCATTTATATCCTGAGCACTGTGTGTATGTGTAATTAATAAATTATCATATAAACATACTGTATTACAACAAAGCTGTAATAAGGTATATTTTATCACATAAAGAACATAACACAATAAAAGATGCAATTGGAAAGAGCCGATTGGCTGAAATCTTCTTCCAAACTCGTGCGGTGTCCAATCATGCACACTCCTCGAACCCAGAAGAAAGGTCCAACATACAGGAACATGATTGTGCCTGAGACCGTAGCCCTTTATTTGATTACTGGTCAGACTGCTACCTCTTCAGTCTATTGGTCATTGCCTAGCAGGTTCCACTATAGTGTGTTCTATCAGTATTTAAGGCTGGGCGCTCTTATATACCGATTTATGGCTGTATATAATTTTGTGTGTTTTTGTATTCCAGGAGCCCTTGGTGTGTAGGTGGATTAGGTGTCCATCTAGCGGGTGCTGGAGGGTCAGGAAAGTCAGTGGGCTGGCGATTCACCCTCAGCTCCTCTCTCTCCTTCTGGGAGGAGGGTGATAGGGCGGGTGGGTTTTCCAAATGAGGGGTGCTTTGTGGGTTCAGCGGGGTTGGTGGGTGGTTGGAAGTGGGGAGGGTGGGGGGTGGATGAGGTTGGTTCTAGGGGGGTTTTACCATCGGGGTTGTCTAGACCCATTGGACACTTGTCCTATCCTTAGTGTTTCACATGAAGGGGCCCCCCTTGTTCCCCCCTTGTGATGTTGATATTTGTATGCCATATCTCCTATGCTATATATTGTGTTTGTTGAATAATAAACTATTTTGAGATTAGCTTATAGGTGTGCAGCCTTTTTTCTTTGTTTTTTGTTGTCTACGGTTAAAACCAGCACTCCCAAACTACAGGTAAAGGGTCTTTAAAGATTGCCGTTTAGCGCTAATTAATGCTTTGTAAAGCCTACCGATGATTCCTGGACATGTGTCCCAGAAGTCAAGATTCCACAATATGCTTGTGCTTAGGGTCACAAAGCTGACTGCTAGTGTTAATGCTTGATTGAAATGGGATACCTCATATGTCGTACTCATGGTTGGCTTGTATGATACATGATTTGCACGTCTTAGTTCTTTTATGGTCTCTGCAGGCATGGATTTGGAGAATCCCAGTCCACTCCAAGTGTTTGTTGGAGTTCTGACTTCTGTTACTACAGGTTTCTTCAGCATTGCTGTGGCAGGGAAGGAGAAAAAAGAAAAAAAATATTGTTTTTAACTGTGCCTAGTATAAAAAGAGGCATCATGACAGCAGAAGCCATCTTCCTGCAGCTGTCATAACACAATGTAGTCAATAAAAAAAAAAAAAAAAAACGTTAAAACATCTTTGTACCATTTGTATAATACCTAAAAATGCACTTTTAACAGTTCTGTCCAATTATCTTAAAACAAAGGTATGAACAATAAAGATAAGCGCAATTATTAAAATAGTGTACCAAAATGCCTCATATGGCTTTAAACAAAGTAAAAATTATTTAGGTAGGCAAATTAGAATTACTGTCGTGGTGACAGGCACATATCAAAACTGCTAAATTCAGTCTGAACATCTAGGTTTAAATGATTTCTGTTTATTAAAGGGTTTAGCTCACTGTTGTATATTTTAAATAATTTCTAAAGACACCATGCATTCTACGCCATAAAAATACTATCTTTCAAAATCATTACATTTAAATAGATTAATATTTCTATCACTTGCATACATGTTTTTCTCTGCTTACCTTTCGTTGCCAACAACTTCTTTTGTTCATAATCATAGGCCTTAAAAGAAAGAATTGCGTTAAAGTGCATATATATCTACTTGAATGGACGATAATCTATAGAGTTTAAAAACTATGCTGATTTGCAATGAAACAAATACCAGTAACTCAGCATGGTCTGTTTATGCTACACAATGTTGTGTTATTGTACCCATGTGCAATATCTCTACGTAGATCTACACTGTGTTTGTAGAAGATCAATATACATTACATTACTGCGCAAAGTACTCAGATCAATACCTAAAAGTTCATTAAACCAGCTTTATATTTCCTCATGGGGGAAATCAGGTGCAAAACAACAAACAGTTGAATCTGCAAAAGATATTTATTTAAATACCGATACCCTGGTTAAGTCATACCTAAACAGATTTTTTATGAAAAGCTCTCTTTCCTCTAACCAGTCTTACATGTTTTCATAGAGATGGGACAGCCACAGGAATTTTTCAGGAATAACATTCACTCAAACATCACTTTTAAATGCTCACCATGGTGGTGGTTAGGGCACTTTTCTCAAATCTGCCTGGGTACTTTGTTATGCCTCACTAATGCTTGTAGACTTTATATAAATTCTATCACCTACATTAGGGGTCTCCAAACTTTAGAAACAAAGGGTCCGTTTACTGCCCTTCAAACTTTGGGGGGGGGGGGGCAGTGGGAGCAGAATTTGCCCTAGCATCAGTGGGGGTAAGCAATGCTATTGGCTTGGTGGTTAATGGGAGTGAAACCATTAACCATTGGTGTCAGTGGGAGGTATAGAGCCCCATCATTGCGGTCAGTGGAAAAATGGTGCCTCATAATTGGTGTCAGTGGGAGAATTAGTTCCCCATCTCTGGTTGAATGAATAGCAGCCCATCTTTGGTGTCAGTGGAAGGAATAGTGTCCCATCATTGGTGTCAGTAGAAGGAATAGTGCCACAAAGGCAAGCAAAGGGCCACATCCAGCCTGCAGGCCAACGTTTTGAGAGCCCTGACCTACATGAATAAGTTGCTACAACCTAATATCTTTTACCTGTTTCCTTCCCACAATTCCTCCCTTCACTGTATTCAACTCTCTTGCCTTATAAAACGTGATCTACAATTCACAGTGAAGTTGCCCACAGAATAAAGGCAGCAATGGGGCAGTAACAAAAGAAAAAATCTTTTTCCCCATAAAAGCACACATACATGCTTTTATCCAATGGCCATATCTGACACACTCAAGCTCTTAGCTTGCGTTCACATATACTGAATCAGAAAATGGCCTATCACCTGTAAGTTTCCAGCTAATGAAGCTTTTCCTTTGAAGCAAGTAGAGTCATCTGCTGCTTGGCACAACTGTCACCCACAAAAGAAGAAACGGTGCCCATCTAAGGTTTAAGTAACTCAGTTTGTCAAACATAACTGCATGAACTGATTTTAGCTTGATTGGTTATGATTTTCATTTCTACATATACTCGTAAACCTTCAAAGTCATCTCAGGAATAACAGTTTAGAGTTGTTTGGCTCATCACAATGGTTTTCCTCAGTTATGCCAAGGATGATCTCCAGCTCTCCTTCTCCCTATGACTAAACATGTACAGGTGGGCAAGTCTTAACAAAAAAAAAAAAATCTCTAGGTGGCTGGATCATGCCCACAAGGTCAACCATAATCGGATATCTTTGGAAAGCAGTAAGCTGCCCATAGGTATCAGTGAAGAGCTAGATGTGCATGCACGATTTGACTGCCTTCTATCTTTTAGGTCAGTCACTCCAATAAACAAAGAGTCACAGGGGTGTCAATGTTTAGCGCAATGGAAACAGAAACAAATGGCACTGTGTGCAGACAGACTTGATGCCAGGGACAACAGCAGAAGTAATCTAAGGATTTCTACTCTGCTTAACAACTTTGTACTTTGAGAACACTAATTTGAGGCCATCATTAGCTGCTCCATAGACACTGAATCATCACCCAATCTGGTAAAAATATGCCAGACCAGGAGACTGTCATTTAACATCTATGGGTATCTATAGAAATATACACATTTATCCTCTAGTGCTAGTGATGGAGGTAAACAGGTGTTTACTGGCTTACTTCATTTAGAATTGTGGTTAAGGGATGTTAAAAACTGGCAGCTGAGCCGGAAAGGTGACTACTATCTGACAATATTTTATTGAAAACCTATGACTGTCTAAATACTTTCAATGCTGGAAATGTTAAAGACCCCAGGGGAGTGTATCTTTTCTGTGATGGTGCTCATTTCTGGTATTTCTCTTTCCACAACCAATAGTTTGGCAATTTGGGGGTTTTTTTTATCGCTATTTTGTCAAAGAACCCTACTAGTTTTGAGATGAGGTATGGAAGCCGTAGGAGATCAATGACAAAGATAATTACCTGCATATTTGTAAAGGAAGACTGTGAATTAAGCCGTACCCTCTCTGAGTTCTGCTGAGCAGCTCGTTCGGCGGCTCGCTCACTTCCAGGAGCCTTCTTGTCTGTCAGTGGGCCATCTGCTGAACTCATCTCTGAATCTGAAAGTAACCTTTCACTACTACTGTAAAAAAGCAAAAGGATAAAAAAAATTATATTAAACAAATCTGAGTTAAATTTTATTTATGCATGTTCATGCCCCTTTTATTGAGCCAATGCCTATGACCACTGTTATTCTATACATCATAAAACACCTTATTCCATATTTTCTCTCAAAAGGCTATTAACGAATTAGGAGAGAATATTGCAACAGGACTACTTCTGGTAACAGTAGTTCTTGAATGTCATGTATCTACTTTATTTAGACCCACTTGAAATATATCAAACCGGTTTATTCCAGAGAACAAGCATAATGGGGAAAATAAAATATACAAAAGCAGCCAAATTGGCAAATGTCTAATAAAATAAACCAAAGTACCTAAATAGCAAAATAAACCAAAGTAGTTAATTAGCAATCATCTTTTGATCTGACAACAGTAAAGTGCAATCTGGCTGATCTCTTTGTAAATCATAAACTCCTTCTTCATCACCGTACATATAAAAAAAACTAGAACAAGCCTATTCCAGCCAGAACTTACTGTAGATGTGAGTTCTTAGTGCCTTGTAGTAATTCCACTGTCTGCCTCTTAGCACAGGGTGCTTTGACTGAACTCAGCATCTGTTTGAGATCATTGGTATTCGCAGAGTGAGATGGACTTCTTGGCATCCCTACTTCGACAAAGGCATCGTTACCACCTACCGAATACAAAATAATAAAAAGCTGAAAAAAGGATATGCAGAACACAAAACTGGAATGGTAGATGAGGATCAGGCAGTGTGAACAGTCATGATAAGGTCCCTCATACTTTTCATTTTTTTTGTTTCAAAAAGGATCCAGCAGATTTTAATCATCCAAAATTTATTGTAACCAGTCCTTGGATAAACACAAGTGCTAATGCTATACTACCAAATGCTTGTTACATCCATAGACACAAAATAATATTCAGAAAGGATAGGCTAATATGGCTATCTCCTTATGCTGCTTTAGACTATAACAGGACAAAATGAGAGTTGGTTAACATTTTTTTTCAGGTGGCCATTTTTTTTTTGAGACAGCATTTAAATTGGTCTGTGATCTTCTTAGCACAGTGTCAGATTTTTTGTATATCAATCAATCTGTTCTCGGTCAGCAGTGGGCAATATGCAACCACAGACACTTTGATAAATGAGGCCCATTATCAGAAGAAATGAGCATATACAGACTTGAAAACACCACAACAAAGAAAGAACATCTATAACGCACCTTCTGAGTCTGACTTTGTGTTTGTTTGGACAGGTGAGCTGCAGTTGTTCGATGGCCTGGCTGTCTCAGGTAGGTGTGCGTTAATTACTTTGTCTCCCAGAGATGATGTAGATATTGAGCCATATTTCATGTTTGAAGACTGCAACAGTAAAAACATGTCAGGATAATTTTAATGTGAATGTCAAACATGTACTACAAAAGCAGAATATACTGTTACTGCACCAACAACTAACAATGTGAAAAAATTATTGACCAAGGAAATGTTTACAGAATATTAGAATATCATGAGAACGATATACAGCACTGAGCAAACCTTGCACAGTGCTGAGAAAACCTTTTGGCGCTATATAAATACTGTATAATAATAATAATATACACATAAATCCAGAAGGGTTACATGGTTTTCAAGCAATGGAAAGTACAGGTGATGACCTTTGCAGCCAACGAGAAACATCACTTTTTTTTTTATGTTATGAAGATTTTTGGTGAAAAAGGCAGGACAAATACAAGGAATTCAGCAAAGATGGAATCAAAATGTCCTGTGTAAGAACAACCCATTCTACAGCGATCAAACACATGCAAAAAACAGAGTATATGCAAATGGTGGGCCTGTTTAGATCACTTGGAGTGTTTAAGAGTAAGAAAAAGAACTTCTGACCAACTAGCAACTTCTATTTGTTTGTTATTGTACTTATTGTTACTGACTTTTACAATTAGGCAAAGACCTACTTTCACATGACCATTTAACGCTGATGCGACTTTCTTGCATTCAGAGTGCATGCCGTTCATATGTACATCAACTGGTGTTAGCCCAGGAGGAGGAGATGGTGTATTTTGGCCATAGTTTGGCACTCCAGACAGCAGAAAGCTAGTCAATGTAGCTTGTGCAGCAGATGGCATCATCATATGTGGTATTGCAGAAAACCCTAAAAAAAAAAAAAAATATATATATATATATATACCACTAGTTTAATTAAGAGAAATCAGTGTCAATCTGTAGTGCTAGTCATCTCCATGTAGAAATCTCAGCATCTACTCCACTGGCTGCAATTAAGCAGCTACTGAACAAGCTGCTGTGTAATGAAGACACTTAATAGGCTGGAAATATACACTATATTGCCAAAAGTATTGGGGCACCCCTCTAAATCATTGGATTCAGCTGTTCCAATCACCTTCACGGTCACAGGTTCATACAATCAAGCACCTAGGCATGCAGACTCCTCCTAAAAACATTTGAAAAAGAATGGGTCACTCTCAGGAACTAAGTGAATCCAAGCGTGGTACTGCGACAGGTTGCCACCTGTGCAATAAGTCCATCTGTGGAATTTCCTGGCTACTAAATATCCCACAGTTAACTGTTAGTGGTATTATAATAAAGTGGAATCAACTGGGAACAGCAACTTAGCCACAAAGTGGTAGGCCACATAAAATAACAGAGCGTGACTAGCGCGTGCTGAAGTGCACAGTGTGTAGAAGTCGCCAACTCTCTGCAGAGTCAATAGCTAAAGACCTCCAAACTTCATGTGGCCTTCAGATTACCACAACAGAGTCTATGCACAACAGTGCATAGACAGCTTCATGGAATGGGTTTCCATGGCCGCGCAGTTACATTCAAGCCTTATATCACCAAGTGCAATGCAAAGTGTCGGATGCAGTGGTGTAAAGCACACCACCACTGGACTATAGAGCAGTGGAGGCATGGTCTCTAGAGTGGTGAATCACACTTCTCTGTCTGGCAATCCGATGGACATGTCTGGGTTTGGTGGTTGCCAGGAGAATGGTACTTGCCTGACTGCATTGTGTCAAGTGTAAAGTTTGATGGAGGGGGGATTATAGTGTGGGGTTGGGCTTGGCCTCTTAGTTCCAGTGAGGGGGGAACTCTTAAGGTGTCAACATACCAAGACATTTTGGACATTTTCATGCTCCCAACTTTGTGGGAACAGTTCGGGATGGCCCCTTCCTGTTCCAACATGACTGCGCACCAGTGCACAAAGCAAGGTCCATAAAGACATGGGATGAGTGAGTTTGGGGTGGAGAAACACAGAGCACAGAGTCCTGACCTCAACCCAATAGGACACCTTTGGGATAAATTAGAACGGAGAATGTGATCCAGGCCTTCTCGTCTGACATCAGTGCCTGACCTCACAAATGCACTTCTGGAAGAATGGTCAAACCTTCCCATAGGCAAACTCCTAAACCTTGTGGACAGCCTTCCCAGAAGAGTTGAAGCTGTTAGAGCCACAAAGGGTGGGCCAACTCAATATTGAACCCTATGGATTAAGACCGAGTTGCTATTAAAGTTCATGTGCGTGTAAAGGCAGGCGTCCCAATACTTTTGGCAAAATAGTGTATGTTAATATTCATTTGTACAACAAGATTTCACGTCATTTCATTATACAGGTAATTATCTAGCTGGTCCTTGCTGGGCATTACAGACAGTCTTTATTTAGACACTTGTTAGACCCACGTGCACAGGTGTGTTTACACATAACCCATTGAATACATATTTTGTGTTTTAAAAAGTAGTCAGTACACCCAGCAATTCTTTTACCTGCATTTGTGGTTGTCTGGCCATAGATGTATTTCTACATACTTGGTGGACATACCCTACTTTTTCAAAGGTTGTGGTTGGAAGTATATGGAAATCTATGTACTCTTTTTCCACAACCTGGTATTATGAACCAATCTGAATCACTACTGAATAGAAACCCCCTTGGTATTTCAAAGTACCAATTTAAACTCATGACTAACAGTTGTGACACAAACAATTGTTAATGCATGGCTCTCAATGTGCCTATATATGTCAGAGATTAAATCCAAAGTACTATAGACATTACTTAAAGAGAAAATAACAGCTGAACTGCAAGGCTCTATGCCCAAGTTCCATTAGGTGTGGGAACCATGTGTTAATCACTATTTACCTGGTGACTTTTGATTGCTGTCGTCCTGAACTTTGTTTTGTGCTACTAATGGTTATTCCTATACATACAGGAACAGCTGAATTTCTCCTTGACCAAATCCTCCTCCCCCCTTGTTTTTTTCTACATACTCTACCTAATCCCTTCTCTATCCTCTCTACATTCTTCTTTCTTCTCCCTCTATAACCTTTTCTCCCCAAGTCTCTCTAACTTTCTGGTTTTGGAGCCATTAAGAAGTTTTTCCATTCTGAAAAGAAATAAAATATAAAAGCCACTTCAAATGATCCCCATGGATTAAATATACAGGATGAGAAAGGCAGAAAAATATTAACTTGATAACCAAGTAATTTTGGTCTAGAAAATGTAATACAATTTGATTAGCATGACCAACTCTGTATCTCATCTTACAGCACGTTATATTATTAACCCCCATGTTCTTGATCCAGAAAGAAATCAGGCATACGGTAAACTTCTTCAGTTTATGGCTAAAAGCCTTATCTTTGTAAGAACAGCCCCTTCTAAACTGTATAAAAAGTACCCTTCTATCTGGATTTATGGAAACCTGGATTTCAGTCTTCTTGGCAACACAGGACCAACTTTCATTCTAAAGACAATAATGGCCAGAAAAAAAATTCCCTGTGTGGATTAGAACTGCAACCAATAATTACATCCAAAGCTGTACAGGCATATCTAAATGGAAAGTTTAGTGGAGGAATTTGTGTGAAACAGAAAAAAAAGAAACAGATCAAACATTGTTCAGTTTATTTTGCAGTGGATTTGTAGACTATGGAAAAGAAGACTTAAAAATGAAAAAGTTTCACTTTGGTATGATATAATTTTCCAATTTTGCTTCTAATTATGTCATTTGTTTAATGGTTTTGGATTTCATGGATTTATGATAGACCAATGATCATATGATTTAGGAAAAATCCTGGGGAGTTTTTTTTTCATTGCAGGATCTTCTTAGCAGGCATATGAGCGCCAAGCACTTGGGCCTTTGACTTCGAGGAGGCCAGATAAAGGAAAGTTTTTTAATTTTTGTTTTTGTTTTCTTTTTATGAGAGTGTCATATCAAAGCTGCTAGAAGTCACAAATATATCTGGAAAGAAAACTTGAAAAACTGGTTTGCCAGAGGATGAGATTTGAGCTACTTTTTGGTTTTCTTTGGTTATACTGCCACAGCTGATATGTTGGGTGATACTATAGCATATGTGAATAAGTACAAGTCCTCAGAATTTAAGAAAAACTGGATGTGCTAGTGCAAATAATCAGAAGCTTCCTTTGATATTTTTCCCCCCTTTACCAACAAAATGAGAGCTGGAATTAAGATGGCATGCTTGATTTCTAAGTAACCTGCAGCATCAGAATGTTTCTTTTAGATGAAAGCATAAAGTAATCAAGAAGCCAGTCTAAGGTTCATATTACCTGGAGCACTGGAGGCATTGGCTAGGGAAGCTGCCCAAAGTGTCGGACTAGTTGCCGCAGAACTGGGGCTGTGCAGCGGGCTGACAGTACTATTGAGGGCATTCAGCAGAGTATTCTGTGCTGTTGTGGAATTCACTGACAGAGCATTTGGGCCCAAAAGACCTGTGGGGGAATGTACACAGCTTTAAATGCAAGGACACAACCTTTTAATTGTACAGTAACAATTCTCATAAAATGCAGTGAAGAATGACACCAATGATCCAACAATAAATGCTATATTTGTACTGTATAGTTTCAGTTTCAAGGCCTTCATATATTCTTCTTTGGACCTGCAAGGGGTCACAAGCTATTCTATATGACACTGTGGAACATTAAAGCTTTCACAGCCCAATTGATTAACACCCATCCCTTTGAGAGCAAGCAGCCAACACTCCACTGACAATTAGGCTGGTTCCCAATCACATGGCTACTATGTCTGCTCTGATATAGTGAACACATGCAGGCTGAAGGTTTCATATAAAAATAAAATAAACCTTTAGCCTGCAAATAAATACTGCCACCACCAACCTGCCAGTGCAACTGTTATTATCAGTTGCACCATTAAAAAGAAATCAAATCATGTTGTACGTACAAATGCCCCCACTGGCTATGCCTGGTCCTCGAAGAGCCCACCAGCGCATCTACACATATGCCATGAAAATGCCATGTACGCGCAAAGACAGGGAGGTTTTCCAGCTTCCCTATTAGTGGTCTTTGTACATGCGTGGCAAAGCCCACGCATGCACAGAAACTGGGTGCTCCGGCAAATGTACCGATGTGCCACAGGGCTCTCGCGGTTAGGCAAGACGAGCAGAAGTGCTTAAGTCGATAACAAAAAAATGTCCATTGCTAAGAGAGGGAATGGAGAGCAGGAAAGGGAGGACAATCTCAAAGTTAGGGTAAAGGTCCGTATTAGAAAAAATGAGGAAGGGTTGTAGCAGCGCAAACACTGCAAAGTCCTGGGAAATGGTAGTATGGGGTGATGGTGGTATCAGTGGCCACTGCATGAAGAGCGCAGGACTCCGTGTGGCACTGAGGGCAAGGCTTCCAAACAAGCTGTAGCAACTTCTGTAGATGAGAAAAAGGAGAGAAGCGCCTCTAAGTGCAACAAGTCCTTTAATTCAAGTCCAAATGTAGAAACACTCACATGTGTGAAGTAATCATAAGCATAAAAACCGTGGTTAACAATAGTTAACGGTGGGGTGGTAACCCAGGTGAAGAGCCGTCATCTCTCTGCGATGTGGGGGAGGTCAGCTCTCGGCTGGAACAGCGTGGTGGCTGGAGGGGAACAGCGGTGAGGCCGGCCGGCGTGCACGTCCTCCCTCAGAGCTGGATGGAACGCGCGCTGAAATGTAGCGGCAGTGTGGCCGTGATGACGTCAGATCACAGGGTGCATTGCAACGCGTTTCGGAGCATGCACTGGCCGTGGGAGGCGGAAGTGCACTCCTTTTTCAAGAAGCTTGAGGGAGGACGTGCACGCCGGCCGGCCTCACCGCTGTTCCCCTCCAGCCACCACGCTGTTCCAGCCGAGAGCTGACCTCCCCACATCGCAGAGAGATGACGGCTCTTCACCCGGGTTACCACCCCACCGTTAACTATTGTTAACCACGGTTTTTATGCTTATGATTACTTCACACATGTGAGTGTTTCTACATTTGGACTTGAATTAAAGGACTTGTTGCACTTAGAGGCGCTTCTCTCCTTTTTCTAAAGGTCCGTATTAACTGGTATATGCTGTCACTGTAAATTTACCCTAAGCATCAAGGGATCAATGATCTCTGATCATAAAAATGGATACAAGGAAACTTTAACAGTCATTTTAATTTTTGTTGAACACATGAAAAATAGCCTTAACAATTTTACATTGCTGGGATTTAAAAAATTGTGTAGCAGATTCCTACATTTGGTTGCTGTGAAGAAATGGTTATTTGTTTTACCAGACTGATTGCATACATATTCTGAATGGGAGGGTCTAGTTCAATATTAATCATTTAGCCCTGAACATAACTTTTTTTTTTTTGTTAAGCACATAACTTGGTGTACTCCTGTAATCTGGAAGTACATAACTCACAGTGGTACAATACTCTATTGGAATTGATGTGCTCTGGCATAACTTACCTAAACCAGTAAGTCCCAAACCTGCTGTCAAGATATCCAGTCCATGGTAAGGCATTGGGCAAGATAAGGTAGACTGGCTTGTAATGGCCACACCACTGCTTTCAAGCCCAAGAAGGCATTTTCTGGCTTCATACATATTTAAGGCATTTCGTTCCACGCTTTTTACAATCACAGACTGCAAAACACAATTGGAAGAAAAAAAGTCCAGAACGATGGTGCGTAAATAAAATAAATATTGCACTTCAAAGCATAGAATTATATCTGATGGTATATTAATGTGAGGTCTATATGCATTACTTGGCATTCAAAAATACTAAAAACTGTAAACAGCAAAGAGCACCTCAGGTATAATTGAGAGTCCAGCTAGTTTTTATTAATTAAACTGCAAGTGGCCAGTGCTACTCACAACAGCTGTCAGACTGACAACATGAAAAAGCCCTTAAAAGTGAAAAAACAAGTGCAAAGTCTGGTACAATTAATAACTCTTTGTTATCCTTATAAGCCCTAATGAGGGAGAAGCTGCAAAACCCCCAATATACAATGACTACTTGCAATTACCATTATGATCAATTAAAACTAACTGAATTTGCTGTGTTCTATGCGTGCTCATCAGTTTATACAGATCTACCTTCAACTACACCTACAGTATACACATGTACTGTATATACTAGGGTCAAGCATGCCAACAACCCTTTTCTACATCAATATGCAGAACTTTCTACAACAGGACTGTCCTTGATCTTTATTGTCATTCCCATGCCTGAAATAATTTACCACAATGTGCCTCAATTATCAGTAGGCCTAAAAAAAAAAAAAAAGCCTGTCATGAGAAATTTGGCAGGCACCAAAGTGGAGCTCTGCTTTTGAAAATGCATGTTGCCTGCCATGGTGCATGGTTGTTCTGAGTCAGTGAACAAATAAATATTTTTTGTAATGAAAGCCTCAATACAACTGGGAGTTCTTCAAGTATTACTTAGATCATTGCAGTGTGATACCATTCTGTTAGGTGCAAACAAGAGTTAAATGTTCACATATATAAAATTACTAAAGTGCTTGTAATAAAGCATTGATATCCAAAACTACATCATACACTGTGGCTGGTTCAGAGTTAAGCTGGTGTATCTGAAAACACAATTCAGGAGGTTTACTAAAATTGGTGCACTCAGAATCTGGTGCAACTGTGCATGATAGCCAATCAGCTTCTAGCTTCAGCTTGTTCAATTTAGCTTTGGGAATAAAACCTGGAAGATGATTGGTTTCTATGCTACATCAGATTTTGCGCTCTCCAAGTAAATACATCATCTTTTTGGCCAATTTTTGCTATAAATGCACTGAGAATCCTGTTAGGTAGCCTCACTGTGCAGTTCTGCAAGACTCATGCCACTTGCTAGGATCCGGTAACTGGATAGCTTTATTTAATAAGTATGTGAAATAGACTTTCAGACATGATTTATTTGGAAACTTACTTTACTTGGCTGTTTTGGCTTTGGCTTGATGCTGATAAAGACATCTAGTTGTTCCATGAGTTGCGTAATGTATTGTGGTTCTACTTCAATTTCTTCCTTCATGTCAAACATCAGGACAAGTGGGAGACAACCCTGTGAGAAAAGTCCAAAGATGACACAATATGCCTCTACTCAATCTCTCAATGAGATGGAAATAATTAATAAACTACTTGAAAGCTTGAAATAAAATTTTAAAAATGTAAATACAGAATGTGTTTTGATGTTTCGAACAAATTTTAATCAATGCTTATACCACTGGTAAAGAGGTCCTTGAATGAGGTTGAATGACTATGAAGTTGAATAGAAACCTGTATTTACAGAATATATAGGCTGACAATGCTGATCTCATTATGACAATACTCGTTGCTTGGCTTTCATGTTGATCTAATGACACAGATTCAGGGCAAGTCTGCAGATCAGGAGTTGTGACCTTTTTTACTGTAGCTGCATGTTTGTTCCAAGTCAATAACCAGCCAGAACACCAGTGTTTTCAGAAAAGTGTAAGCAATGGCAGCATCCATATTGAATCTCCATAATGGTTTACTTTAAATGACATGGATATAATGCAAAAAATAAATGCAGCTGAAATCACCAAAGGTAACTTTGCTTTTTACACAATGTATTGCAATTTTGTAAGACAGACAGACAGGGACAGACAGACACACACACTAAACAGTAGGTTACGAGTGCCACTAGTGGAACAGTATAAAATAACACAAAACTTACTCAAAAATTCAAGTCCATTGAGCTAGCTGAGCATAAATACCACACTAGAACCAAGGAAATAGATAATGGATTGCAAATTGCCAACATCATACTTTTCTTTTAGGCCTCATGTACATTGAGCTCAAACATGCATATTTTACAGAAAAAGAAGCATCACTTGAGTGTTGTGTTAAGAGAGGATCGTTCATGCCTGACACGGATAAACGCATTTAAACATGCCTAAGCATTATGCACGTTTAGCGCATTTTTTACAATTTCAATGGCCAGAATAAATTTAAATTCTGGCTAATGAAATAAGTGCCTGGCTAGGAGAAAAGTATTTAAAAAAAAAAAAGCCCAAGTGTCATGAAGCCTTAAAAGTAGCCGTGCACAAGAGCATATGGTTTTACAAAGACACACACACACTTTTAAAAATCATAAATGGCTTGCAGAACACCCTATAACCATGTAAAAATACATACCATGAGATACTGTCTGGCAAGACAAACTGATTCAATGGTGCCTTGGAGGTAGACTGTAGACTTCTTTAAAGGGTTATTTGGGTCTGGGAAGTGGATCTGAGCACCTGTTCTCTGCATAATGTGCTTGATGTTGCTTCCATTGCGGCCCATCATGAAGAGGTGATGCTGAGCAGCAATATCCAGCTGTGTGCTAACAGGAATGGCATTTGCCAAACTACCAGCAAGATGTTCCAACAGCAGCGCTGTTCCTTCCTATGAAAAAGAGCATTAAAGAAGTTATAAGACCATCAATTAACAATTTATCCCAGAAATACTATACATAATAAAGTACCCGCTACTTTATACTCTCCATCAATAAACTTGAAAAAAGCCAAGGGGGCAACATTTCCAATATACTCCCCATCACTTCTATGCACATATTATATTAGCTTACCTGGTCTCTATGCTAATGTTATGGATGTCAAGACTGAAGGGCAAAGGGAATAAGTAAATACATAAGAGGGCATGTTATGTTTCGTGTTTTTTTACCTCAGTATATTTATTAGCCATATAACCCCAGCACAATCCATACTGAATACAGTAGTTTGTCTCTTTGTCTTCAATTCCCTCAGCTGCGGTTTTGAAAAGAAATGTGTATTTTACCCAGTTTTCCCAGAATCCACCCTAGTAATCTCACTTAGTTGTCCTCTAAAGCTGGCAAGACACTGATTGAAACTTAGCTGCTCCAGCAGGGACCAACAAATTTTGATCAATGTGTGGCCTCCCCTGCTTGATAGAGTTCAATTATTTATTTCACTTTGATCAAAGGGCTATGTTGGAAACTTTTCTGTCGATTAACAGCTGTAGCCGCTGTCAGAAGAAAGTAACCTGGAGGAGGAGAATCCTCCATTCACCTTGTCTGTGTGGATGGAGGATTCTATTTTTTTTTTAAATTAATCCCATATGGCCAGCTTAAGGTCTTATATCATGTTCCTATTGGGTGTTTGATGTTATCAAGTTATCTACTCACTCTGACCATGTATATTTTTCTAACACTGTAAGGCTTCATGAACATGAGCCTACCCTGACTGCCAGCCACGGGAAACAGCAAATCTCTGCAAAAAAGCAGTACTGCGGTTTTGCATTTTCCAGCGGTCAAAACGTTCCCATCTTGAATGCGATTCTTCCCGTTCAGGAGAGGGAGGTTTAATCTCACCAAAACATGGCAGCTCCTAAACTCTGCTAAAAGCCTATGTACACATAGGCTTTTATGGAGTTGAGTTTAGGAGCTTTGGCAAAAAAATGCCAAAAGCTCCTAAACTTGAGATTAGCAGCTGCTTATGTACATGAAGCCTAAGAGCAACTAATCTCTGAAAATTTAGAAGTCTTCACAAGCAATTTGTTCATAAATTAAATTGTGGCTGGTATAAATAGTTCATTCTCAATGTTTGCTGATGATACAAAGCTAAGCATGGTAATAACATCCCAACAGGATATAGCAGCTTTACAAGAAGACCTTGATAAAATAGAGGGGTGGGGGCAACTGCATGGTAAATGAGGTTTAATACTGAAACTGCTAAGCATTGCAAAAGATAGCAGGACCAACCCCAAAAAATTCTTCAAATATATTAGTAAAAAGGTCCGGTCCGAGCACGTAGGCCCTTTACAAAATAATCTAGAGTGGGTGACTGGGGACAAAGAGAAGGCAAATTTATTGAATACCTTCTTCAGCTCTGTATATACAAAAGGAGCATGGGGGAGCTCTTGTACATAATGGGCATGGTATTGACACAGCTCCAGATGATCCACATTGGCTCACAACTGACATGATTCAAAAATATTTAGACAGAATAAAAGTGAATAAAGCACCTGGACCAGATGGCATACACCCACGGGTCCTTAAAGAATTGAGATCTGTCATTTCAAAGCCGTTGTTTTTAACTTTTAGGGACTCTTTAATGACTGGCATAGTACCACTGGATTGGCGTAAGGCCAATGTGGTGCCAATATTTAAAAAGGTGTCAAATCTTTACCAAGTAATTATAGACCTGTTAGTTTAACTTCTATAGTTAGGAAGATACTGGAGAGTTTAATAAAACACCACATAGATGTGTTCTTGCAGGAAATAAATATTGTAAGCAATAGACAGCATGGATTCATGAAAGACAGAAGTTGCCAAACAAATCAGATTTTTTATGAGGAGGTGAGCAAAACCTTGGACAGAGGGGTGGTGGTGGACTTGGTATACTTGGATTTTGCAAAAGCATTTGACACAGTTCCCCACACACAGCTAAAGTGTAAGGTAAAGTCTACAGGCTTGGAAAAATCCGTATGTAAATGGTTAAAAAAAACTGAAAAAAAAAATTGTATTCAAAGAGTAGTGGTTAATGATTCATACTCTGAATGGTCTAGGGTTGTCAGTGGTGTACCCCCCCAAGGTTCAGTGTTGGGACCCTTACTTTTTAATATATTTACAAACAATATAGGGTCTGGGATTAAAAATCCCATTTCAGTCTTTGCAGATGACACCAAGCTGTGCAGTGGAATAATGTCCTTACAGGATGTCTTCAACTTACAAGCTGACCTCAATGCACTCTTTAACTGGGCAACTATGTGGCAAATGAGGTTTAATATTGATAAATGTAAGGTTATGTACTTGGGGGCTAGAATATGCATTCATCATACATACTAGGGGAAATACAACTGGGGGAATCAATGGCGGAGAAGGATCTAGGAGTTTTGGTAGATCACAAGCTCAATAATGGCATGCAATGCCAAGTTGCGGTTTCTAAAAGCGAGCAAAATCCTCTCTTGTATTGAAAGAGGTATAGGCTCCAGAGAGAGAGAGAGAGAGCACGCATTTTACCCCTGAACAAATCATTAGTAAGACCTCATCTGGAATATGCAGTTCTGTTTTGGGCACCAATTCACAAAAAAGAACATTGGGGAACTGGAGAAAGTACAGAGAAGGACAACCAAACTGATAAGAGGCATGGAGGAGCTCAGCTATGAGGAAAGATTAGAGGAACTGAATGTATTCTCTCTTGAGAAGAGGAGATTAAGTGGGGATATGATCAACATGTATAAATACATCAGTGGTTGATATAGTGAACTCGGTGTAGAGTTATTCACCCTGAGGTCATCACAGAGGACAAGGGGGCACTCTTTACATCTGGAGGAAAAGAAATTTAATCTCCAAATACGGAAAAGGTTTCTTCACAGTGAGAGCTGTGAAAATGTGGAATAGACTCCCTCAAGCGTTGGTTCTGGCCAGCTCAGTAGATTGCTTTAATAAAAAGCCTGGATTCTTTCTTAGATACACAGAATATAACTGGATACTAACATTTATAGGTAAAGTTGATCCAGGGAATATCCGATCGCCTCTTGGGGGATCAGGAAGGATTTTTTTTCCCTGCAGGAGCAAATTGGATCATGCTTTGCTGGGTTTTTTGCCTTCCTCTGGATCAATTGTGGATATAGGATTTATAACGGGTTTTTTTAATGGTTGAACTGGATGGATTTTTGTCTTTTTCAACCAGACTAAACTATGTAAACTATGTAGGCAATGCACTTGGGGGTGGGGGTAAACATTTTTAATGCAAGTTGCTCACTAGGGGGAGAATCTTTGGGGGAATCCAGGAGGGAAATGGATCTGGGGATCCTATTAGGTGACAGACTCAGCAATAGCATGCAATGCAAAAGTTGCAACCAGCAAGTCCAGCAGAATATTAGCATGCATTAAAAGGGTATCTACTCAAGAGACAAAACTATAATTCTACTATTTTACAGAAATGTGGTTCAGCCACATCTTAAATATGACATTGAGTTTTGGTCACTAGTCCTCAGGATGAATGTGCTGAAACTGGAGAGAGTTCAGAGAAGGGCAACAAATCAAATAAAGGGGCTGGAGGACCCCAGTTATGAGGAACTACAAATATGAAACATTCTCCCTGGAGAAGAGACACTTAAGAGGCGATATAATCGCAATATACAAATATCTAAATGGCTATTCTAACTATATAATCATGGGTCTCTTATGAAGATATGTGGCCACTCGTTTGAGTTGGATGAAAAATTATTTAACATTAAACTTTGTAAGGGTTTCTTCCTGTCAGAGAAGTAAGGATGTGGAACTCTGGTGTCCTCCTGGAAAGCCATGGAAGATACGGCTCTACCTATGAATAAAATACACCTATATGGTATTGCTGCGATCGCCAAGAGCTGGATAATTTATTTTGGTTGTTCTTTGGTGGTAGGTTATGGGTAGTAACAAGAAACACACAGCTAAATAAAAAAAAACGTTTTTATTTACTATTTTGGGCCAGTTTTCCTTTGATAGTAAAAAAAAAAAAAAAAAATCAGGAGCTATCCATTACCATTTACCACCAAATGAAAACCCAATTTGACCTGAAAAAAGGCGGTATAATTCACCTAGATGTACAAAGTAGTTGTGATGATATGTACGGTTTTACTAACACATGTCAATGTTGCAAAATTGTGCTTAGGCATTTAGATTTGTTTTACCTTAGGCGTGAAGGGGTTAAACCTGCTAGTTTGTTATTGGGGAAATTTCTCTTATTTCCTATCCTGTAGATATTTCAAGAAGTGGAAATCGTTCAAAATTAGGGAAATCTCCTCTTAGATGGTTCTGCCAGTATATATACATATAGAGAGAGTTAAAAGAAGTTCACATAACAAAAAATTATTCGCTTTTGTTTTGCAGGTAAAATGTATTATTTTTTGTTTCAAGAGCATTGCACCTTGCCATTGCTGGTGCCATGCAGGTCTCCCCCTGACCTATCATATCTGCTTGCTTGTACATCCCATACGGACAAGCAGATACTTACTGACAGGAAAGCTCAATTACAGTTGTGTCCAAAAAATTATTCAACCCCCAATGCTGTAAAGGGGTTTAGGGACTATAGTGTACATTTGGAATTGTATTCAGAATCAAATCCTACAAGGACGTTGTAACTACCCAAATGCAACTAAAATGACATCAATTGTTTATGTAATACAGTAGTAAATGGTTCTTATGTGGTTTCTTCATTGCCACAATTATTCAACCCCTTAAAGACTACCACTCTGAAGAACAGAGGTTCATACAGGTGCTTTCCATCAGGTATTGAAAACACCTGTGGATGTCACCGAGCAGCAATCAAGCATAATAAGCACCAATTAGGCAGCTTTAAAATGACTGTGATACTCAGCTCCTTCTAGACATTTACTGGTGTGGTTACAAACATGGTGAAGGCAAGAGAATGGTCCAGGAA